TTTTTTTTTTTTTTTTTCATCAAATTTTTTCTGCCCACTTTCGTGAAACTTAACGTATATTCGTGCCAAATTACGTAAGATCGTTACGTTATTCATGAGATTATTTATAAAGATATTCTTTCTGGACTATTTACTATTATTTATTATTTATTTTTTATTTTAGTTAATGTTTTAATTAGTTTGGCGTTTAACAAACGTGAACATATGATATATCAAGTGTTATCTATGATTCAAAAAATTTGAACGATTATTTGATTCGAAAATTTGATCGAAAAATGCAAATGACGATCAATTAGATTATTAACTTTAGATTAGATTGTTGATACACGAATAATTTTATTTTGCATTAAATTTATATATCGATTAATATAAATGAAACTCTATGATACAACAAAACGAATATACATAAATTCAACGAAAGAAGATAAATAAATATCAACTGAAACTTGATTCGTCGTTCTCTGTTGTTGCCAACTTTTAATCGTGATTTGAATCAAAAGCAATACGAATTCCCTCGAGAGCATTGGATATAGTCTTAATGTATTCAGGGGGTAAAATTGTGGCTGTCGTTATATATGTATCCGGTGATTACATTTTATTTACGTACACACGCACGTTCGATCTCTGGGGGAGGTGTGTATAAGTTAAATTTCATGACGACGAAACTTAATAAAACTTTCGAAACCGACCTGAGATCCTTGTATTGAACTTCTAAATTAACTTCAGCCCCAGTCTTTTCGAATTTGATCTTCTCTTCTCCCGGCGATACAACTGAATATCTTGTTTGTTATTATTCTTGTTATTCTTTAGTATGATTTCACTAGGGAATTCACCAGGATATAGGGAAATCACTAAGGGGATCACTTTCGACTCAATCGTGATTCTCCATTCGTTATTATTTCAAAATTTATTTTTGTCGAGTAAATAGGATAAAATTGGAATATTTTTATGATTAATTCTCGATTTTCCATGATTAATTTCTTTAAATTATTTTGAATATTTATTTAGTTACATTTTATAGGAGAAACTAAAATAAAACTAGAATATTTTTGGTTAACTTTCGATTTTCCATTTTCGTTAATTCATTTAAATTATTTTGAATATTTATTAGATTTATATTTTATAAGGAAAACTAAAATAAAACTAGAATATTTTTGGTTAACTTTCTGTGATTAATTCCTTTAAATTATTTTGAATATTTATTGGGTTTATATTTTTCTATAATTTATAATGGGACAAAGATGAAACCAAGAATTTTCGTTGGTCTGTGATAAAAATTTTTTTTTGTTAATTGTGAACTCTTTCCAATAGTTCCTTACTTCCTTATTTGCTGGAAACATAGGTTTGGAATAATTAGAGCATTGCCTATATAACGTTTATGCGACACAATATTCCAACTATAGAAACGTTGTATGCAAATTTGAAAAGCAAATAATGAGATAATAAAGGCAAATGCGGAGCAAACGTGCGCGCGCGCGCGCCTCTAAAATACGGGAAAACATTCAAATCATCCCGACAACTATAAACGCTACTAGGATTATTATGCCGCGTGGAAATTACTAAAACATTACTAGTGGAAATTTGAATAATGTTACGCCTAATATAACTTAAGCACAACGCATAATTTCGAGATTATTTTGAGAAAGGAGCGTTAGAAATTTCTGTAGACGAAGAAAGATTGAGAAAGAAAGAAAGAAAGAAAGAAAGGAATTGGATTAAAGGGAAGAGAAGAAGAAAAAGTATGACTTTTACATCTTTTGCACATCTAAAAAGATGGAGATCAAATTTATTTAATCGAGTCGTATAAAACATGGGATGAGATAAAAATGAACAATCTCCTTCTTCCTTTTGAGAGAACACAAGAACACGGTCCAAGCAACTTTTTGAAAAAATATAAAAAAGAGATCCAGAACAATATTCGTTAAAAATTCCTCTTCCTCCTCCATTTTCCTTTTTTTTTTTTTTTTTTTTTTTTCTTATAAATTTATGCGACCATGCAAAAAGTCGCGGCATTAAAAGTTATATAACACTTGTTCAAGAATGTTTCAAGCACTTTGGGTAGTTCTAAAGATATCATCGGTCCAGGAAAATCTTCTGGCATAACTTAAACTTTCGTTTTGCCCGCGAAATAAGTTACGATTCTGTGAATTTATGTTTTCTTCTACGGAGCCAATGCCAAATTTCACAAAAAGAAAAAAAAAATCCTTGAAAAATTCTTCTCTCTCAATTAAATAAGAAAATATATAAAAATTATACTTTTTTTGTATAATTATGAATATAACATTCTAATTATTAATTCTCAAAGAATCTCATTTTTTTTATACACTCTTTAATTATCCATAACTAAGAATCATCGAACAATTAATAAAAAAAAACGAAACAAATTTTTATCTTTATTCCTTGTATTTTTTAATTTAATTCAAACACGTTTAACAAGTTTAATCATCAACACGATTCAATCGAAAATTATCGATAGAAACAAGTTTCAAATAGTCACACAATATTTTTAATCATCGAATCGCCTCTGTCGATTCTCAGACACCCGGTAGATTTACGCGATAAATTTATCCATTGCGACACATTTCCCCGCGCGCGAGATTGTTTTATTATCTCGTCCCAGTC